GAATAAGTTCTCTTGATGACATTGGAAACACTAGTTGATAGCTCGCCTTTACACGACATCTCACCAGATTATTGCAAAACCTGTAACATGACGACTTTCTGGCTTCAGAATTCGGCAGTTAGTCCATGCTGGATTGTGTGAATGGCGCGTCTAAGAGGCACGCCCTTCGATCCATTTCTGGGACATCTTGAAACCGCGGCAGGTCTTGTGCTTACCAAAGAATATACATTTGTCGGTTGATGCGGCTAGTCGATACAATCGGAGGTTGCATGGCGACCAGAGCCCACCTGCCAGCCAATTGGGCGACAATGCCGGCAATAAAACAATTAAACGCCGATTTTCCCTCCCCCGGTATGCTGGCGGCATACCGTCGGCTGGGAAGAACAGAAGCCTTCTGCCTGTACATGTGTGTGAATGTGTGTGTGTGTGTGTGTATGGGGTGCCGAGATGTGGGGCAACTCAAAGGTGGGTCATACAGGTCTGGCTGTGGAGTGGTCGGATCATTTGTGTCAAGGTCGGACGGCTCCTCGAGTAGCTCAGCGAAGTATCGCCTACACGGTTCTTGTGTTGTACTCCGGCATCGAGACCGATCCACTCGGCCACGGTGCGTCTCCTACATGCGCCCAGCTATAAAAAGGAGGCTGCCGCCAGGACAGTAAACCCTTGCCTCGCTCTCTCCTGACGCACCAGACCCAGCAGAATCATACGCGTGTAGACATTTGCATACCCGCAACACACATACACACACCAATCTGCAGCTAGGCCGGTACAGGCATACCCGCATGCCCTCCTCACGAAATGCCGGTTAATTGTGCCGGCGGAGCCGTTAACAGAATCCGCGCGAAAACAATTACATGAAACGACGTCGGTGTTGGATACTGCTTCATGATGATGATTGTCTGTGTTTGTGCGTGAATGAGGCGAAATTGAGCCCCATCGAGCTGGTAGGAAAGGAGGCGATCTACCTCTTGAAGCGGTACCGAACGGATCCGCGGGATGCGGAGCGCCCAACCTTTGGGTCTCGAATTGGTACCGAGATTTGGAAGCCAAATCGGATAGCAAGTGCGTTTTCACACTCTTGCCTGGACTGCCGACACCCTCTTCTCTGGCGCCATGGCTTCATCAAGGGTAGTACGACAATTTTTTGTTGCCAGTCCATGTCTGTCCGATTGCCTGTGGGTCTGATATCCAGGTGTGTCTGTGTCTGTGCACAGTTGCATTTGTTGGCTCAGTCGATTCACTACCGTGATGGGCTTCATTATGCAAGGTCTGTAAATAGATAACTCGAGCGCCAGGTCCTGTCTGACCTGCTCATTACTACCGCTCCGTCTGGTGCCTTGAGACCATGACGGTCTGTCCGCGAATCAAGTTCGCCAGAGCGACCGAGCGAGCGAGGGAGGGAGAGAGAGAGAAAAATAGTTGGCGAGAGGGAGCACCAGAAGCAAGAACTGCACTAATGGCGTCTCCAGTCGTCTCCTCTCTCTGTCCGTCTGTATGACAAAAGACAGGGTACTAAAGGGGCCCGGTTGTCTGTCTCCGACGCAGGCAGATTGGGGCTGTTCTGGTACCGAGGCTTTGTGGAACGGCCCGCCTCTGTTGCACACCCCATCCACCACGAGGGCTGCCCACTTCGGCCTCATACTTTCTGGTCGTATGAGTTTATGGGTTTCATGCTCCCTCTGCCGCCCAATCTGCCAGGCCTGTCTCGATGGCCCCTTGGTCGCCGCCATTGACCTATGCTCTATAATTATACATACGTGAGTGTGCATAGCTGACTAGTGTGTCTGGATCTCTGTGTGTGAAGGCGTCTAGGGAGACGATGGGAGGTTCATGTGTCTCTTGCCCTTTTCGCCCGGGATTTGCCTTTGGACCAGACTCGCACAATCGTCCACCTGTATTCAGACAGGGCGACAAACACAAATAGAGATCTACACACAAGCGCACGCTGGATCGTGTCGGTCGCGAAAGTCCGACAAAACTTGCTTTTTTCACATGCACTCCGGCGCTACTTGTTCGAGTGCGTACAACACATCTCTACACACACCTACACATGTATACGCGGTTAACTTGTCATACACACTGTTTGTGGTGTTGCCTTTGACTTTGCTCATCTCGCCAGCCTGAGGCCATGTGACCCATGCTTCACTTGCCCATTGTCAACGCTTTTTACAGCCGATGGCCATAGTAGCACGAAAAGAACCGACGCACACAGACGCGGCCACCGCAACAAACTCCCCACACCCGTCTTCATACAAGGCAGGCGCACACTGCCTCCGTTGGAGTCACGGTGACCCTCTATATTCCGGCACAATAATGTGTATGCGTGTCTATGTGTGCGTGTGTATGATGGTTAAACGAGCCAGGTTGGTGGGCGTGGTGACACTCGAACTGGTTTCCAGAATGGTCTTCAGTTGTGCATGATCTTCATTCTGTGTATGCATGCAAGCACGTGTGTACGTCGAGACTGATCATCTATTCACACGTGAAGACCAAAATGAAATGTCGGTTTTGCCGAGTCTGGCCGGACAACTCATGAGGCGGTCCGCAAGTGCACGAGGCGAATGATGGTTGTGAATAAAACGGAGTGGCGATGTGGAGTCTCAGTCGGGTTTAGTCACTTTGGTACAGGCGCGGCTGGAAGTGTCCCTCTGGTTCTCCCCTCTTCTCCGCTACCCTCCACTTTTGCGTCTTCCCTTCTCGCGTTGGCAAACGCCGACACTATCTTCCCCTCCACCGCCCCTCTTCACCATGATTCTATCATACTTATCAACCACTGTTTCCTCTTCCTCCTCCTCCTTCTTCACTCTCCCTCTTCTCTCTCATCTTGTCTTAACTCCCGACTTTCTCAGCCTCTCAACATCAGCCTGGCCTCTCAATTCACACTGGCTATAAAGTGAACATAAAAGTTGTTCTGCACCTGTACATTTTCTCCACACTTATCGGACTTGTGTCGGCCGTCCCACAACCCCGTTCCGCTGCCGCTTCTGCCGCCTCCGCCACTGCCTCATAGTCGGCGTCCGTTTCCTCCCTCCCACCGACCCTTGCTGCCCACCACACGCCCTCACCCCCCTCCTGCTTCTCAGACAATCGAAGAAAGCCGTCCAGAGTCGACTCAAGCGTGACGAATTCTCTCCCAGCTCCGTGATTGCCTGCCCCATTTAGATCCCTACTACCAGTTATGGCAGCAAAATGAATATAAGTATTACTTTGTCCGGTTCACTCCAATGGGCAAATTGAATGGTTCCGTCGTCCTGACGCCTAATTTCGTGGCAAATTGCTGAATTCACCGACCCAATCGCGACCCAGAGCCAGACGAGTGAATTCAATGCCCCATTTACTTTCGGCACAATTGTCTAGGTCTACTGCGATTTTTAGAAAATGGCCCACTCCGCATGAAATTGTGTCCGTTCTCCAGTATACCAGCAAAGAGTGTCCCCTCGAAGACACACAAACACATATTACAGCCCTTGCAAAGCTATAACAGCGTCTAAAGGAAGCTTGTGTGATTTTAGTTGAGAACGGCCCAATATGAGGAGGCTCCTGGAGCGTCTTGGCATCACAACGAGACTATCAGGGGCCTGACAGGGAGGCATTTTGACCTACGGCCTCAGAGACTAAGGCACATATTCCGGACGGACAACACATCGAGTTCTGTCCAAAAGTCATAACGGTTCCTATTCACATTAAATCTGATTTTTAGACTTGACTGCTCCAAGAGGGTTGGTCAAGTCAGGCTACTCACCTCGTTCGAATCGATCCGAAAAGCAGGCGCAATTAAACCGAGACCTCGTCGTTGACATCTGGAGCACTTAACCCTTGGTACCATAAGTTCACGGAACTGAGATAACTTTCATGGAGAGGATTCTTGTACTATTATTCAGACATTCCTGAACGCGTTCTAAGCGTTTGTCTATCTTTTGGCAGACTTCATCAGAGCCGAACAAGATTCTCACATCTAATCAGGAGGTCTAACTGCATTTCCATGGTCCAAAGATTTTAGTAGTTTAATTCGATGTCCATTCGTGTGTGTTTGTATGCATGTATGGCTAGGAGTGCGAAAATATTAGAGATAAATTGGGCCCCTATTGTTTAATTTTAAACTCCAGATTCTCGAGACAACCTGCTCGTAAGATGCCTTATAGAATAAACAAAATAAATTTAAAAATAGATGCATACAGATTTGTTAATATACTTTTATGATCGTATGTGTGTTTCTGTATCTCTAAATGTATAGGAGTAAAAACACTACCAGTGTAAGCTTGAGTACCATTACTAGTTTGGCTTTCATTACTTGTGAAAAAGGCTATGATGAGATTTGCAGTAATGTAGACAAAAATGAATTCATGATGGTTTATAATGACTTAATTAGTCTATTATATATGAATTTAATGTACGTCATATTGTGTGCGTGCTTATAGTTGCGTAAGTTAAATGCGTGTTTATGAGTTGGTTAAAAGCCTTGACTCAAAAGTGTTCAACAGTTAAGGTAAAACGACTCGGTAAAAATGCACTTTGATGTTGGAGAACCTTTCATCTTGTTCGAAGAAGGAATTCGTAACTTGGTCTCAGCTGTAGGGGAATTGCAAATAGATCATCGGTGCATCGCCCTGATACCCTGCTGGATTATCAAATCAGGAGACGATGCTTTACGATAATTTACCAAACACAAAGGCAAGAAAGGTGGCTAGCTGCAATGCTATCTACTTTTAATAGACTAGTTGTGTCAAAAGCCAGTTTTCCTACAAATATGTATTTTGCCTTGCATTGAATTATTCACTGTAGAAAGATTATGGCTTGTTTTAATGAGTTATACTGACCTCTGAACCGACAACTCTGGCAGCCAATCTGGCTTCAATCCGACGACAGAATAGAGTTTCTTAAGAAGACTCATGTATGTGTTAGGATCTAGGCCAGAATGGCCATCTAGTGGAGTCGCCAAGTCGGAAAGTGCTTAACTTTAGATTACGATTCCCCCCTCCTTAGCCCAGTCCAAAATAATGATTAATCAATACATTTTTATTGCTTTATCATGCTTGATGACCTACCAGCTTGATTTGGCGTTACATGGAAAGCTTCACTTAGTCTCAGAGCAGCAGATTAATGCTCTAGAACCATCGCACTTGGTACCGCCCTCATGACACCTCTCAGGCTCTGAGAGCGTTCTGTCAATTTTATTACGGTCTCGTCTCCGCCGACACAGGCTATGCGGAAAGTGTGTTTTAGCCGGCCAAGTAGGATGGCAAGCGCCGCCAACCATTTGCTGGGTTTTGCCGACATATTGGCTACGGCCTAGCTCACAAGCCACCCAACACACACCTCAGGGGCTCGGACCGGGCAATCAAAGTCAGGCTTTCGTATACGCAGTCGCCTCGGAGAAAACGGGCCTAGTCTAACTAGAGAGTCGTATATTGTGTAAGGAAAAGCTAAAGTGCTAGGGGCATTTCGATAGCCATTTTCATATTTAAACCAGCCTCTGATAAGTGCTAAAGCTATCTTCCTCTGATGATGAACCTGCTAAAACCCGGCATCCTCGAGTATAGGATTGTCCATGTCACATGACATGAGTTGAGCTGACGTTTTCATTGCATTTCACATAGCCTTGCTTTCCCAAAAGTTGTTCTCATCCTGGGTGGACTGCAGTTTCAACCTCGCATTG